TTGAGTCATGTCTCTGAGCATCAGGATGTTTTGGTTAATATGGTTGAATCTTCATCCTCTATCTCTACCTTAAATCCATCCCTCCCAAAGTCTGCCCTCCCCATCAGAGGATATTTTACCAGAGTTCTTGGAGTGTTACATAGGAAACCTGCCTGCTCTAATAAAACTTCTAGTTACATTAAAGCTCATTGTAAACAGCAGTCTTTAAAAATTGAGTCTTTACGGGTAAGATTCCTCAAGGGAGGAACAACCTAAGACAGGCACAGTCGCAGGGGGGCCATCAGGTGAGAAATTGGGGAACAACAGTGGTGAAGCTTAGAACCTCACCTCCCCCTGTTTTGAGAGAAAGCTTCTGCATCCGTGGATGTTTTATTGCCCTTGTCTAGCTCGGATCAGCACATAGTCTACAGGCACACACCTGATCATCTACAATTGCTCTCTTACAACACTAAACTATGTTTTCTACCTTTATCTTGCATCTACCTACCACTTCAGCAGTTTATTAAAAATAAAAATAATAATAATAAAGGGAGAAATGTGGGATCCACATATAAATCAAGTATAAAAATCAAAAGAATATTCATATTTGACCTGATTGTTTATAGTTCATAATGCGTGATCAAAACCGAAAGTTTCTGTGATGAATGCCCTTGTACTGTTCACCATGTAAGAACATATTCACTATGTAAGAATTCGTTCACCATGTAAGAACTTGTTCGTTATGCTTCAGAAGATTGGAGACTGATGAGAATTAGGCTTGAGATGGATTAATGATTGTACATTGAACATTGACTCCCCTATACAGAATTTTATTGTTGTTAACAACCATTTGATCAATAAATATGAGAGATGCCCTCTCAAAAAAAAAATTGAGTCTTTATAGAGGCAATCAAGATGGAAGAAAATCTTTGGGAAGGGGCATAGTGAGTGTGGATTGAGAAAGAATTGCGGTCTCTGTAATTTGTACTTCTTACCCCCTGGGCCTTCTTTTCCCACTTCTAGTTTTTTCCTCAAAGATGCTTCACAATCTTTGTTCAGCCTCTGTTATTTCTCTGCCACTCAACCTAAACAGCCCTTCATTTACAAGACACCTCCTCCAGAAAGCCTTCCTAAAATCATTTCCACTTATTCTCTAATCTGTCAAAATAACCTTCAACCCACTCTTCTGCCCTCTGGGTATCTTTTACAATTCATAATGATGGATTTTGGTGATGATGGATGCATTTTACCTGCCTTATCACACTCCTGAGGACAAGGGCCATGGCTGTCTTGTCATTGGTCTCCCAAGCTCCTCTTCATACCTACCTCTTCCCCTTGAAGGCTCTTAAAAATGTGCAGACTCTTTAAAAGGATGGGGATGTTACTGATATGTAGGAGAGACAGACTGACGAAAAAACAAAAAGAGAGAAGAAAGAAGAGATGAGAAGGAAAAGAAACAAGTGGATGGGCCAAGGCCTGTCCCACCTCCAGAATTGCCCGGTGCCATGCATGGGCATCGAGCTGCAACATTCCACACCACCACAAGTAGACACCCTGGAAGGAGTTGGAAAGGCGTGGGAACAGTTATGCCAGAGGCATGTATATTAAAAAGCTACGGTCTTAACAGAAAGGCAGGATCCAGTCACGGTCAACTGGAGCAAGCCAAGCCAAGCCAACACACACCAAAAATCACCTCCACCCATCTTGCTCTCTGGAGATAGAATGAACCCCAGGTGGGGATTAGAGGATCAAGTGTAGAGTTGTTAGGGATTCTGCAGGGAGAGGGAGAAAGTCTTGAGAGGAGGCATTCCCTGGCAACGTTGTTTTCCAAAATGCCTTTTCCCTGTACTATATGTCCTAGAACCATTGGATGTGAACTCATGGTAACCACGGCATAAAGGCTGAGCCTGAAGCATTGTTAGCAGGAATCCTTAACATCTGGTTATAGAAGGCAAGTGACAATTAGACCATGAGCTACTGAACACCATGTCTCATGAACATTCATATCATGTGAGCATCCTGTAGTACCATGCCTGGCTGGCATCTGCCAGTGAGGAATGACTATTGATTAGAAGAATAAACCTATCTTTGGCATTTAGAAAGTCTATGCTGAGCCAGTCAAAAGATTCATTCACTTTGCCCCAATTGGTGATGTGTAATTCAATGACTGGATATATAGACTTGCTGTGTGCCAGGCAGAGTTCCAAGTTCAGGGAAAGAAGCAGTGAACACAAAGTCCAGGTTTCCATTTTATAAAGCTACCTTCTATTGGATAGAATAGATCAAAATAGGTAGATGATTTTGATGGTGATAAGTACCACAAAGACAATAAATCTGGGTAGAGGTAGTGAGTGCTTTGGAGGAAACCCACTTAAGATACAGTGGTGAAAGAAGTCCTCTATGAATATGTTACTTTGGGACCTGAGTGAGAAGATGCAAACAGTCATGTAAAGCTCTGCAGAAGAGGGGCCCAAGCAAAAGAAACAGTGAATGTAAAGGCCTGGCAGCAGGATCGGCCATGGCAAACTCAAGGCATGGAAAATATGAGGCACTGCAAAAGATGTGAAATGGTGCAGGACAGACCCACTTGCACACTTCATCACAGAAGGCAGTGGCTAAACATTGGAATCATCTTGGAAAACTTTTAAAATTCTTGATGCCTGGGACCCATCCCCAAATATGCTGCTTAATTGATGTGAGATGTCTCCTGGACATAAAAGTTCCCCAGATGATCCTAATGTGAACCAAGGATGAGGACCATTGAAAAGACTTTTAGGGACACAGCAAGGCACTTGGAGTGGTGATGATTCTAGGTATCTGAAGAGACTCAGAGGTATTTTCTCAGTACTCCAAGTCCAGATTCAGAAAGAACCCAATGTCTAAGAGGACTTGGATGGGTATGGAGCCAAGAAAATGAAGCAATCCAAAAGGAAAGAGACAGAAGAAGATGGACAAAAAGGCCAAGAGAGGCAGAGAAATCCAGAAAATGTGACAAATTGGAAGGGACAAAACCAGACCAATGCAGACAGTCCTAAAGGGCTACAGACAGAAGGAAAAAGGGAAAGCATGTGTATTAGTTTCCTATTTGCTGCTGCAACAAATTATCATAAACTTCTGTTTGAAATTTGTGAAACAACACATGTTTATTATCTTACAGTTCTGTGGTTCAAAAGTCTAAAATGGGTCTTACTGGGCCAAAATCAAGGTTCTTTTCTGGAAACTACCCCCTTGCCTTCTCCATCTTCTAGAGGCTGCCCACTTCCTTTGCTCATGGCCACCTCCCTCAGTCTCCAAAGCCAGCAGTGTCAGGCCAAGTACTTCTCATGCGCTCTCTCTCTGGTTGTCCTCTTCTCCTTCTGTCCTTCACTTTTTAGGACACTTGCTATTACACTGGACCCACTTGGATAATCTGGAATAATCTCCCACTTAAAACTCAATGGATTAGCAAATCTTCATTCTATCTGCAAGCATAATTTCCCATTGCCATGTAAAATAACATATTCACAGGTTCTAGGCATTAGGACATGGATATCTTTGGGCACCATTATTTTACCTACCATAACATAGAAGTCCATTTTACAAAACAGATTTTGGTTGTATCTGTAGTCTTTTACTTGCATAGCTGTGTGTTTTATGAACTTTGAGCTGGGACATTTGTGTCAAGATGAGTGTATATGTATTTATTTCTGTAGGTTTATTTACCTGTGTGGCATATTTGAGTGTTTCCCTGATAAGTATGGAGAGGGGGTGAAGGCACTCAGAGGGGGTGCTTAAATAAAGTGCGGCTGCTCCATAAAGACTTATTGCTGTTGCATTGTTGTTCTTATTGACAATAAAACTAATGACAGAGTACCTTTGCATGTTTACTGTGAGTACGTCTCTCTGTCCTTAAATAACCCTGGGTGTCCATCCCACTGATATTCAGTGTGTGTGTGACTATTCAGGCATATCTGTGATATTTGTATTTTGTGACTATATCTGTGAGTTTGTGCACTTTGGGACTTTTGGATATCAATGGATACACACACATGTTTTTATAACAATGTGTGTGATCATAGTAGAAACATCTGGATGTTTACTTATTCACAAACCCCAAAGGGTGTCCAGACAGGAAGGCCTAGTATGAGAGGTGGAGGAAATAGGAAGAAGAGGGAGCAGAGAGGAAGAGAGGAGAGGAGGGAAGAGGAGGAGAAAGGAGGAAAGAGACAGAGGTAAAAGAAGAAGGCACAAGGAGAGCTCAGGAAAAAATCAGAAGGGAGTTCTAGGGATCTGAAATAAAAAGATGGTAGTCACAGCAAGGGCACATCTCAGAAGATCTGCATAGGGCGCCACATGGCTCTGCTTCTGGCCATTCTCTTGCTGGATGACCCTGGCAATGTCAACTCTCTGGGCCTCAGTTTGCCAAAGTGTTGAAATTGATAACCCTTGGACACATCCCAAAGAAAGAGAAAAGTGGAACTAAAAATGTACCCAGGGAATGAGAGAGCTAGAAAGAGATATATTATAGGTAGAAAGTAACAAGAGAGGCCCTATGAGCCAGCCAGAGGTAGAGTGGAGAGAGCCCTACCCTGACTCCTTGAGGTGGGAGTGTGGGCGCCTGCTTACTCCAAAGCTTCAGTTTCCTTGTGTCCGTAATAGGTAAGACAGGAAGATGGAAAGAAGAGAGGCACTTGGAATGACAGCCCGCAACAACCCTCTGAGGCTTGCCAAAGCCACACAAACCAGGCAGGATCCGTGCTTCCGGCACTCAGTTCCCTGATGTAGGTATGCCAGCCACCTGGAATGACTAACACCCTGGAGATTTGGGCACCCGTGCCCAAACACCTGGGCACCCTGCCCACCCGCACATCACAGGCCAAGTAGGAGGTGAGATTTGGGCTCTGCAGGGGTCACAGGGGGTTATCTCCCCACACTGGCTACCTTGGCCCCAGAGCGCCCCCTAGTGAGCATCTCCTCGTTTCGAGGACCCTCCTCCCATTCTCCTCCCCAAACCTTGCGAAGCTGGAGAACCAGACGAAGAGTTACGCAAGCCTGATGTTTACTTCCCGGAGGGGCCTCCTCCCTCCCTATAAAGCCTGACGTGGTGGGGAGATTGGTGGAGACTGAGGCTAGTTGAAGGGAGAGGCAATCCCAGGAGGGGACGTAAAAGAGCCAGCAAGTTAATGCGGGGGGCTGTAAGAGGTTCATCGACTCAGCAAGCAGCAAGCGCCGCCTGCCGTCTGCACACTCGAAGGCGGTCGCGGTGGTCGCGGAAGGGACGTCGCCCAGACGCTGGCTTCCTATGGAGGCGCCCGAGCTGGTCCCAGGGCTGGTGGAGCGTCTGGAGCAGCTGGCGACGTGCCCGCTCTGCGGGGGCCCCTTCGAGGACCCAGTGCTCTTGGCGTGTGAACACAGCTTCTGCCGCGCGTGCCTGTCCAGCCGCTGGGGGACCCCGCCGGCGACCAGCTCCGAGGCGCCCCCCACCGCCTGCCCCTGCTGCGGCCTGCCGTGCCCCCGCCGCAGCCTGAGGTCTAACGTGCGGCTGGCGGTGGAAGTGCGCATTAGCCGCGGACTTCGAGAAAAGCTGGCCGAGCCCGGGGCCCGAGCCGGGAGACGCCGAGGGGGCCGCATCCCCACCATGGGTTGTCTGGATCCGCAAGGAGAGGTGTGGCTGGGGTCCGCAGTTGTCGGGGGACGGGGGGAGATTCATGGGTTCCCTGGGGAAGCGGAGAATAACATCCCCGAGCCGGGGCCCTCCTAGAAATTGAGGCAAAGGATGGAATTGTGGAGAGAAGAGGAGAGGGGGCGGAGGCTGACCACGAGTCATCAAAGTGAAGTGAGGTGCCAAGAAGGACGCAGGGAGGAGTTAACACTTTGCCCAGAGGGGTGGAGGCTGGACCGATGCCTGAGTCTTTTGAGAGGAGCTGGAGGGAAGGGGTTGGGGAGGCAGAGGAGGGGTGCAATCAGCGGTCAGTCTGAAAGAAATCCCCTGGAGCCCTGTGAAGAGCGCGGGAGGACGGAGAGGAACGCGGCTAGGAGCCCCGGAGGAGGAAACCCAGCGGCGGGGAGGGAGCAGGCGACGGGGTGGGCGGGGAGCTGACTGGGGCCAGAGCGAGCAGGCGGCCGGGCGGATGGCGGTGAGATCGGAACTAGCTCAGGGAAGAGGAGCAGGAGGGAAGGCGGAGAAAATGCTGGCGTCAGCGAAGGAGGGGGCTGTCAAAAGGGGGTAGCAAGGTGGGGATGGGGCGTAGATCCCGGGCTCTGGCTCCAGCAGCATGTGTGTTTGTTATTGTTGTTCTCAGCTCCTCCCAGAACCCCAGGCAGGGGAGGCGACGGGTGGAGACGAGGAATAGGAGAACAGCCCTTGAGATCTCTGGCTCCGGTTCAAATCCCAGCCTTATCACCCACCCGCCGCGTCCCTCCTGGACCTGGACTCCTTGGCCATCAACCAACCCCATTCCCTTGCCTGACCCCCAAGCGTCCGGAATTCCCACCTCTCTTCTCTCCAGCAGCCGAGGAGGTGTTTGGGTCTTACTTCCACCCTTTGAAGTCTACGTAGACCTAATTAGTCTAGGTGTAATTGGCATAATTAGGCAAATTGCCTTTCCTCTCTCCCCTTCACCACCATACTGGTCGGCTCCAGTCATCCCCACTGGACCAAGAAGGGCGAAGGGGAATCCTAGTATACGGGAGGGAGCATCCAGCGCCCTCTCCTGGTTCCCATGGTACTCTGCAGCTCCGTTGGGCCTCCTGGGACACAACCAAGTCCAGTTGCCTCTTTGGACTGGGTAGGGAGACACCAAGCAAGGGGCCCAAAAGTGCCACTGGGCTTTTATGGCAAAAGGGGAAGCAACTTTGTTATAAGTCTTTTATATACCAACTCTTAGTACAAGGGCTCTGGGTATGTGATGGAGGGGGAGGGGGAAGTTTTCTGGGGTATACCCTCAGGAAGGTAGCTAAGAAGGCACTGAAAGAGACAGATGAGGGCAGAGGCAGCGAAGGTAAGGACTCTGGGGGCTAGATAAAGGTATGGATGAAGATCGGTAAGGGGAACTGAGAGCTCTTGAGCAATGGGGAAGAGGAGGAGGGAAGTGTGAGGTAGAACTAGGAGGAGGAAGAGAAAGTGGTAATGGAGTTAGAGCAAAGAAGAATCAGGAAAGCAGAGAAGGGAGAATTAGAGGGAAAGTTATGAAGTCCAGAGCTCACATTCATGTTTTCTTCTGCCCATCCCAGGATATAAGGAAGACATGGAGAAGGTAAGTTTCATTTGTACTGTTCTTTCCTTTTCTCTGCCAGCCACCCAACTATCACCTTTTCACTGGGCTCACATCTTTGTCCCCACTCACAGACAGGTTTTCTGGGTGTGGCCTCACCCCTTCCTGCTTGAGATACAGTGGGGGTGGAGGGGGAGAATCAGAGGGCAGAGAGTGTCTACCAGTTTCCTCACCCTTCTCCCTTATCTATCCAGATTTGATGCTCCAACGCCCAAGTCATCTAACTCAGAGGACGAGCTCCCTGAAGATTACCCTGTGGTCAAAAACATGCTTCACATACTGACAGGTATAGAGGGCAGAAGGGAGGGAACTAATGGGACAGTCAGTTTTAGGGAGTCTGTTTTTCTGCCTTCTTGCTCTCAAAAATGATTAAGCCCTTTTAGATGTCCATATTAATTTCCTAGGGTTGCTCTAACAAAGCACCACACACTGAGGAGCTGAAACCACAGAAATTTATTGTCTCAGTTCTGGAGGTACAAAACCAAAATCAAGGTGTTGCAGTGTTGGCTCCTTCTGACAGAGGGAATCTGTTCCATGCCTCCCTCCTAGCTTCTGGTCTTCCTTGAGAAGGAAGGAAGGAAGAGGCCTGAGGCCTTCCTTGTCCTGCAGGCAGCTTTCTCCCTGTGTCTTCTCATTGTCTTCTCTCTGAAAAGGGGTCCAAATTTCCCCTTTTCATAAGGACACCAGTCATACTGACTAGGGCCCACCCTAATGACCTCAGTTTAACTCTACTACCTCTGTAAAGATTATTTCCAAATAAGTTCACATTCTGAGGTATCAGGGGACTTCAACATATCTTTCTGGGAGGAACAAATGACACATCAATGTCTATCCTCAATTCCTCATATACCAACCATTGTCCCCTTACTTTTTCATACACTCACACAAACAGACCCCTGGAGGTCAGCTGCCTCTCAGGAATCTCTGCTTCCACCATGTCTCAGCACTCCTCTCCAGAAGGGCCCTGGGACCTCTCCATCTCCCTCCCCTGGGACCCTGTGCCTTCTCTGCAGCTTCTGGGTTGTTTCTTCCTTGCTTATCCCAAGACTAACTTGTATCCTTTTAAAAACTGACTAGAGAAAATATTCCACCCTCTTGGTCACCCGCCATCCCACCCAACACAGATTGTTCCTAGCACCCCAAATCCAGACATCTTTCCTCCAAGTACCTCATATACACAAGGCAAATAATGATTTCTTTCTAGTCCCTTTGTCCCCATGTTCTCTCTTCTCCTCTGCCCCACACTCCCTGTAGAAACAGGCCTGTCTACTCCCACCTATTCCTGTGGGTGCATGGGCTAATTTCTCAGGATACCTTGGGTTTCTCCCTTTGTCCCTCCCCTCCATCATTTGGGTTTCCCTTATCTGGGGTCAGTCTTTCTCTTCGGATCTACCTTCCCCATCCTGCTGACCCAGCAGCTCCCACACCCCACCCCAGATACTGCAAAATGAGGTGTCAGTCCTCACTTCTCCCCACAAGTTGTATCAGCCTCACTCTTCTCCCAGCCCCAGGAACCAGGCCACCTCTCCTTTGATGTCTACACTGTGCCACTTGCCCTGGGTCCTTCTCCAACTCTACAGAAGTGGCCCACAGGTGAGGGCTGAGTCATGCCCAGTCCTACCCATTTGTCTTCCCTCTCTTTGGTTCTAAAGCAGCCTCTTGAGCTCTGGGGCCTCTTAAGAGCTATCTGTTGTGTATTTTCCCTCCAGTCTCGCCTCTGACTCAGAGAAGCCCTGCTCACTCCGTCCTCTCCCTGCCTTTCCCTCTCCAGCCGACCTGACCTTGGACCCAGGCACTGCCCACCGGCGCCTGCTCATTTCCGCAGACCGCCGCAGCGTCCGACTGGCCCCACCAGGGACACCTGCACCCCCTGACGGCCCCGCACGCTTCGATCAGCTCCCGGCGGTGCTTGGAGCGCAGGGCTTCGGGGCCGGCCGCCACTGCTGGGAGGTGGAGACCGTGGAAGCCGCCTCCTTCGGAGACTCTTCTGGGGAGGATGAAGACGACGGGGAGGGCCGCTATGCAGTGGGCGCGGCCGGGGAGTCAGTGCGACGCAAGGGCAGCGTAGGGCTGTGCCCCGCGGGGGCCGTGTGGGCCGTGGAGGGTCGCGGCAGCCGCCTGTGGGCACTCACGGCACCGGAGCCCACCCTGCTGGTTGGTGCCGGGCCCCCGCCACGGCGCATTCGCGTGGACTTGGACTGGGAGAGGGGCCGCGTGGCCTTCTACGACGGCCGCTCGCTTGACCTGCTCTTCACCTTCCAGGCGCCAGGCCCCCTGGGGGAGCGCATCTTCCCGCTCCTCTGCACCCGCGACCCCCGCGCCCCGCTACGCATCGTGCCCGCAGAAAGCTGAGTCTCAAGCACAACCCCCACTCTAGTTTCGCCAGATGCGAGGCTGCTTCCTCTTGGGCGCGGAAATCCCCGCTCATTCTCGGGGTCTTGTCCACATGCCCATTGCCAGAGTAGAGAGAAGCACCCCACCCACATACATTGTCTCTTTTCTCTCAAATAGTAAGACGGTCAACTGGTCTCCAATTTCCACTTCCACACGCAAAGCCAAATCCATTCCTACCCCCTCCCTCTTGGGATATTTCTCCCCACAGCTACCGCAGCACCTCCCAAACGAAATCTCCCTTTCTACCTTATGTTATAACAGGCCTGAATTGGAGAACAGGCCCCGCTGGTCAAATATTTACTTCCCACTCCTGCTTCTGCACAGCTCTAAGGCTTGGGCTGCTCTGTCCTGTCCACTCTGAGGTTTCCCCTCAAGAGAAACAAGAACCTCCCCTGAAGAAACAAAGAGGATTGACTCTGCCCAGGCCCTAGGCCATTTAGGAAGTTTAACATCCTTTCTGGGAGTGGGGCAGGCCAGTTCTACTCTGTGGTGCCTACTTTCTATGCCCACAGCCTTTGCCCATTAAGAACCTTCTTAAAACTTCCCTCTGCACATACAGTAAAGAACCAGTAATGCCACCTCTCCTTTCCTCAGCCTGGGAATGGCCCAGACACCCCAAATTTATCCTTGTACATAGCCTCACATTTTCCCCCTATGTATAAATGGGCCCATATTTAACACGGTTTGTGATGTTGGGTTATTTATTTTGTGCATCTGTGGAATAAATGAGATCTCAGTGGTGGTATGGTTTGACTGATCTCTGCAACTATGAATGCAAGAGGCCTAGAAATTGATATCCAGATCCAAGAAAGGGATGAGGAGGGCTGAGAAAGCTCGACATTTGCGCTAGTAGAGACATCAAAGCCTAGGAAAGAAGGGGTAAGAGTGCAGGAGAGCGGACACTCCCATCTCTTTGCTCCCTCTCTTTTTCTTCCTTTTCCAGGAAATCCAGAGTAGGGACTCTGCTGTATCTGTCTCCAAAGCTGGAAGACCAAAGGCTGAAGTAGTTGGCTCTAAGTAAGAAGCCAGTTTTGTCAGAAATCCTAGATCACACAAGAAGGGTGAGAAAAGAAGATGACTATTTTTGTTTCCACTTCTCATTAAAGGTGAGAATGCCAAAGACCGACCTCTCTCCTAACTCCTCTTGAAGGCATGAGGGGAGTGGGCAGGAGGGAAGGGGAAGGGCTGAGAGCCCAGAAGTCTCTCTTAAGACCTCACATCCCAGGCAAGGACTAAAAGTTCGGATAACAGCAATATATTAGTGAAAGACTCTAAGCCAGGATTAATAAGGAGCTATGGCAAGATCCCCCAAAATCCAACTGGGACCCTGGCAGTGAAAGCTGGGCCTGTTGAAAACCCAAGTGAAGTGTTTGGGACTCAAGTAGAGAGTGCAGGGGGCCAAGGTAACTGGATCCCAAGATAGGTAGTTTGGCAGTGAGATCAAAGGGAACTGACTGGGACCAAGATGTCTAGATCCCTGGAGAGAGGAGGATGGGTACTGGAAGAAGAAATGAGGGCTGGAGGAACCCAGAAGCTGGGGTTCTGGAATAGCAGCAAGTCAGAATTCCAGGATCTCTGTTTAACCTTCTCTCCTGCTTCCCTCTATCAGGAAGAGGAGAGGGGAAAGGGGGGCTGGAGAAGGAATCAAACCACGGGTTTAGTCCCTAAGTAGCCACATGAATACATTCAGGGCCAGACAGAGGAATGGTGGGGAAGAGAGGAATTTAGTGCTGCATTGGTCCTGGAGGGGGCTGGGAGGGGTCAGGAGGCTGGAGAGGGGTGGTGGGGCTCGGTCCTGGGGTTGCACGACGCCGTCCTTTGCGGTGGCCCCGGACACAATGTGTGTGACCACAGCCCTCCTCTTCATCCTCATCACTCTCCGTGGAGCTCTCACCAAAGGCCCGAGGTTTCTCATAAATACAGCAGCCTGGATTTTGAGGGGGAAGCTCAGTTAAAAAAGGAGGAGGAATAAGGTTTAGAATCAGTTCCATTCCCACTGGATCTGACTAAAAATCTCGACTTCACCAATGTTTCCTTCTGCCTTCCTGGATCCAGTTTCCCCAGACCCATCCCCCAGGACTAAGGCACTCAACACCCTTGTCCTTTTAGAGAGCCAGAAATCCAGTTCCGCTGCTCCCACCTTTGATACCTCCAGCTCTTAGGCCTGGGCACACTGATTTGCAGAGGGGAGTCAGAATGCCAACGATTACTCACATTTTGATGAGCGGCGTCCCATGTGTTCGTTGTCTACTGTGTCACTAGTCCATTCCACCTTTTTCTCTGGCTTCCTTTTGCGAAGTTTGATGGTTAGGCTCCTGTTCTCCTGGAACATTAAGAGTGAGGGGCATATCTATCTAGCCCCCTCCTACAGACCTTTCCCACTCCCAGGGACCTCCTCTCTCCCCTTCCCCAGCGCTATCAGTATCAGATATAGCATGAGAGTTGCTGAGTGCTTTTGATAAATTGAACAGATCTTTGACCTCAAGGAATCTGGGGAACAGTGAAGTATTATTTCCTGTTCTTGATAACCGCCAGTAGAGAAGACACAATTCCTAACCTAGGGAAGGTCCCAGCAAATCTTCAAAGAAAACATAATCCTTGCTGTTTCTCCGTCTTCTTCCCCAAATCATCCTTGGTGGTATTAACACAAGAAAATTATTTCCCAGTCTCCAATGCCTAATCTTATATCTCCTTTCTTTTTCCAGACCCCCATATTCTTTTTCTTATTAAAGAACTCCATTCTCACTTCTCCAATCCTCAAGCCCAGCCCTCTCCACCTGTTTCCTAATATCTTGGCATCTCTGGCAGCTATTACTCAAAACTCCCTTAATCCAGGGGTTATTAAGCCCAAATACTACTCTTTGAAGGCACCTTAACCTGTTTTTGCAAAAATGCTACTTGTTTATTTTCATCTTCTCTAATTTCTCAAAGTACTATCTCCATCCCTGTTTTCTTGTTCCCTCATTCCTTCCATTTCCTTTTACATTCATTCCTTCAAGAAATATTTATTTTACAAGCATGCTTCCAGTCAAATTCCCCGAGAGCTGGCCTCCAAGCATGCTTTCTTACACAGCCCTTCATTTCCCCCCAGCAGCTCCCTTGCTCCTAATCCTCAAGTTCCCATTCTCTCATTACTTACACACACCACCACCCCAAGCAACATCACCTACATCCTAACTCTATTACATGCCACTTGATCAGACTCCAGCACCATCTCTGCCACTTCAGATATCTCCAATGCCTTACGATTCTCCCAACCCCGGATACTCAGTCCCATTCTTCCCATATAACCAGGCCCGACCCCTCCAGTAACTCTCCAAAGCCCTATCTCCTCCCTCCCGGTATCTCCCAGACCCCTAAACAGCACCGCCCCCGCCCCCCGCCTTTCTCACGGGCTCGGTTGTCACGGTAACCGTTGTCTCAGTGACGGTCTCACTCAGCCCAGCCCCTGCCTCGGCCATGGCTAAGGCTGAGAAGAGGGATGAGGGGAGGAAGGGAAATGAGACACCCTTCCCCTTTTCTGTGTCTCTAGAATCTAAGAGAATCGTTATCAGATTCAGAGTAATAGCCAGGATCCTCCACCTTCTTTTCTCCCCTCCTCCTGGGCCTCCGCTTCCCCACCCCTGGGGAATAAACCAGTCCAACCCCACTTCCGGCTTCACGCTTCCGGGTGTGACGCATTCTGTAGTCCCCCTTTTGCCTTTCCAGGCATTAAATGTGTCAAAGCACAGGCGTCGCCGGATTAGTTCCGCCGTAACGTAACAGTGCGCAGGCGCCACAGGAAGGCGACGCAAATTTGGCGGAAGAGGCGACACGGCGATTATGGGAGGAGGGGGCGGTCAAGTGCTGCAAGAGCACGCACTGCAGGGATCCAGCTGGAGGAGGATGTCCGGAAGGGTAGGGTCGGGTTCCACGCTGCAGACTCGGTTTGGCTGAGCGCCCGCCGAAGTTGGAAGCGGGGGAGGAGCTGCACCCGGTTCAGAAGGCCTGTAGATGAAGTCATCCCCCATCCCCATCTTTAACCCTGGGCGGTTGGAGGGGAGGGGCAAACAAAGGCGGCGCAGTAGTAATGACCCTCCAATGGCCTGTTTCCATTCCTCGTTTCGTCAGGGATTAGAAGCAGTTGGAAACCCACTTGATTAATAATCTGGGTTTTAGTCCTCGCCTTGTGCCTGTAGGTGTTTGAGCGGGGCGCTTAATGCCCCTTCAGTTTGGGGTTTTTTTTTCCTGTCACTGCTAGGCCTGGAAGATTGAGGCGAATAGAACACTCACACCCTGCCTTTTAGCTCCCGGTCTAGTGGGAAAGACCGACATTTAGGACTAACAAAAATATAAGATATTGGTATATAAGCATAGGTGTAAATCACATCTGTGAAATTGAATTTAATTGCATATTTCTAACACTCGAGTGGAGATGAGTGAGATGAAGCACAGAAATTATCATAAATTGCAATATAGGCCAATTTATGCTGTGATGAAAATATGTGCATGTTTCTCAGGGAGCAAAAGATGGTTAAAGAGGGAACCGATAGGCAGACTGGGGTTTTTTTTTTTAGATAGCAGCTTACAAAGTCGTAGGTTGTGCTCTGAAGGAAATGCTAGTTTTTACTGCTGGGATGTAAGGGGATTGCCAAATGACGTTGGACAGCTAGGCGTGGTTCTGGGCGCGGTTACGTGGGAGGTCCTGTATGCTTTGCTAAGAAACTTGGACTTTGTCAAGTCAGTGTTTAAGGCTTGATTTGTTTCAGTTTTGAGGAGTCGGTCAGGAAAGTCAACTATTAGAACAGCTCAAGTGTACAGTGGAGAAGACTTCCCTGCCCATCACTCCAAGTTGCTGTTGGGGGGTCAAACAAAATAGTGTGTTTGAAAGTTCTGAGTTTATAAAGGACCATGTAATTACAAGATAGTCATCATTACTATCACCCCTTGATTGCCAGTTAAGCCACGGAATTCAGAAATAATGTTTCCCAAACTAAAATTTGAATGTTTGTTGTGATTGGATTATATATTTCTCTTTTAAATTTTTGGTTCAAACTGAGAAAAGCAAATTACTATTCAGCATGTAGAGTAAAGCCAATTTAAACAGCCAAATATATCTGTGAAGTGGTATTCCCTGTGACTTTTACTTCTTTCTGCCCTTCTGTGTATGAATTACTACAAGGAATACAATTCATTTATCTCAAAAGCAGTAAAATTTTCAAAAGTCCACCTGTAGTAGTACACACTGGTATCCCTTAGTATACTATTATTTTGTATATAAAAACAGGTTTTGAAGCAGACTCCAAGAAGGGACTAGTGGTCACCAAAGGGAAGCGGTTGGAAAGAGTGGGTGGGAAGGGAGAAGGGGATTAAAGGGCATTATAATTAGCACATAATGTGGCGGGGGAGGGGTGGGGCACAGGGAAGGCAGTATAGCACCCAGAAGACAAGTAGTGACTCTGTAACATCTTACTACCCTGATGGACAGTGACTGCAATGGGGTGGGTGTGGGGACTTGTTAATATGGGTGAATGTTGTAACCACAATATTGCTCATGTGAAACCTTCATAAGATTGTATGTCATGATACCTTAATAAAAAAAAGATGTTTTAAAATAAAAAAAAACTTTTGTATGTAAAAGCGAACTTACATGCAATAGAGCTGCTTAAATTTTCTGTTAAATCTCACTATCCAAACTCCTACTTTTTGTTGCCCTAAATTCAGGAACCAGATTTATACAGTGAGAGAATACTTATAATTGCTTTATAATATTAGCCTCATTGCTGGCTCCATATTTTTTGTCCTTGGGTTGTTTTGTTTTGTTTTCTTTCTCATACACTAACTTATCTTTTTGTAGCTGACATATTTCTTCAAAGAACAAGTATTTCTCTATAAGCTCATTTAAATTCTTTTTGGAACAAAACATTATAAATAAGATACATAAGTCTGGTTCTTATGGAAAAATAAAACTTTAATATGGAAATTCAACTAGGTATACTCGAGGGACAATCTGCTCATGTTCATCTGCTGCCCTTCTGATAGCAAAACATTGCAACCAAAGGATGGACAAAGGATCCGTTATCCTTCACCTTCCAAGGACAAGGAGAAAGAGCGAGTGTTGAATCACCCAGAAAAAAACATCAAGAGTCTTCCTTTTCCTGGAACCTATGAAGAAAGGAAGGACTTATTATATATTTGACCAAAGGAAAAGGTTCTAGCAGTGTAAGATGAGAATTAATCAAGGAAGGACTTTTATTTATGACACTGTGGAGTACTAGCTCCTAAACAGTCCTCTGAATTTGAGGCAACTAAAAATGCTGGAATTAAAGATATATAAATTACAAAGTGTGCAAAGATTTCTTAAGATACAAAATGCACTAGCCATAAAAGAAAGGATAAACTGGATCTCATAAGAACAAAAACTTTCTGCTCATTAAAAAAAAAAAGGTTAGACTGGGTGAAAATACTCTCAAAAGATACAACTACTGTATAAATATTTTTAATCCACTGATAATATGGCAAGAAAGTAAAGGCCATCTTCACACTGGGTAAAATGATACAAAACCAGGAATCTTGACGGGTAAGTTAAAACTGAAGCCTCTGCTGGTGTAGGGAGGATCACGGGGAATACCATGTAGCACAGAGAAGACAAGTAGTGACTCTGTGGCATCCTACTACACTGATGGACAGTGATTTCAATGCAGTATGGGGGCGCTTGATAATATGGGTGAATGTAGTAACCACAGTGTGTTTCATGTGAAACCTTCATAAGAGTATCAATGATATTTAATAATAAATATATATATATATAAAACAAAAAAACAAAAACTGAAGCCCCAGCTATCATGGTGTCCTTGCTGTTTTGACAAGCACATGGATGAACCAGAGAAACACCTACAATGTCTGAGAGGAGGTACTCTGTATAAACTTGGGGAATCCCCAAAGGGTTACCCTCTGTGTAAAAGGGAATCAGAAAAAATAAAAATCAACTCTGCAGAAGGGGAATCTGTCTCACTAGGTAGAAAAAGAAAAAATGTCCCCTGAGAATTTCTAACCATAAATTGGCCCATCCATGGATCTGCAGCCCAAATTCATACTATTTATGTGCTCCAAAAACCTGAAGCCAAGAATGTAAAGTGCTCGGTAGTGTCTCAAGCACCTGAACAGGAAACACAAATGCTGAGAGAACAGCATTCACCACAGGCCTCTGAATTCCCACAGTTCAAATTGTAAAAAACCCGAGCTTACAGTAGAAAAAAATCACAAAGTGAAGTAAAAAGAACCATGAGAGAGTCAGTAAAAAGAACAGCAGCATCAGACCCACAAAAAGTGTAGTGGTCATCTGAATGATCAGACACAATATAAATAACCATGTTTAACATATTTAAATGTATATTTTAAGGGAATATGGCAATTTAAAATATTAAGGAATTGGGATTACTAAAAATGAGATTTGAAAAATAAAGTAAAACTCAAAAAACAATTTTTTCTAAGCAACAATAATTGAAATAAACTGAAGACAGAATTAGTGGCTTGGAAGAGAGACCTGAAGAATTTATCCAGAACCAGCATTAAAAGGGCTGGAAATTAAAAACAGGGTGAGAGATGGAACAAGAAAAGGTCTAATTCATTAAAATAGAGCTCCAGAATGTGAGAATTGAGAACGTGGGGGAAAGACTATATTCAATGAGGTAACAGCTAATAATAATTTTCCAAGATTGATGGGGAAAAAAAAAAAGCAATCCTCAAGTTTTAGAAAGTCCAACAAATCCCAAATAGGATAAATAAAAGAAACCACATCCTGATACATTGTAGTGATACTGCAGAATACCAAAGACAAAAGTTCTTAAAACCATTCAGAGGCCATGTTCTTTAAATCACACTTGACTACTCTTCATTCAAGTAAAATCTTGAGTGCAGAGGAAGATCCCAAAAAAACATGCTGACCACTAAGCAATACCTGCCTTCTGTATTTTTTCATTTCCTTTTAAGTATCTTAAAAGGTTTAGTTCACTGGCTATAAGGACAAGAAAAGTGTCATTTTTAAAAATAAAAAAGATCACAAATCTCCTTATTACCTGACCTGTACAGCAATTAGGAATGGGACTACAGGAAAAATTGTTTATTCAGCACAAAAAGTAAAACACTAGATTTGTTCAGTTAGCAAACAAACCAAGAAAGGGCAGAGGGAAGGGAAGGTTACGCACTTGCAGTTGGTACAGGTGTAGAAGACAGTCTGTCCTTCATCAGCTGAGCGCATCTGTCTGGTGTGGTATGCCATTCCCTCATGACCACATCGAGTGCAGTGCCTGTCAACCTGGGAAGAACTGGTGGGTTAAAGTGGCCTAATTATAGCCCCCTACTTCTCATAGGTTCCTAAAGTCTATCTATTCCTAATTGGGCTGTCACAGTCCTCAGACACTGCTGCTCTAAAGACCTCTCTTCCTTCTTGGAATTGGGTACAAAACTCTCCAGATCTCAGCAATCACCCCTGTATTTCTTTCCCACCCTTCTTATGGAGACAGTCCTTGATGTTATAAACTTACCACGGGTCCCTGGAACTCAGGTCCTTCCTCCACCGTCACAGGCATGGTTGTCCCCACTTTGTTGAACACAACTGAGGTCTTCACAATCTTCCCTTCGAAGTCTGCACAGGCAGTAAAAATTGTTTCTTACTTATAAAAAAAGAACCGTTTGCGGGAGCTGACAGCCGAAACTCCCTGTCAGTTAGACCAAGAGGCCCTTTATCTTTCGTTTCAGGTTTCGTCCCAATATCAAAATTATAAGTGCCTGATCCTGCTTTAGGGTCCATCTCCAATCCCACGGATCTTAAGGTCCCTGTCAAGCCTCCGACCCTTCCATGCTGGGCCCCTAGCCTAAGGCGCTGCAATCGAGCCCCTCACCTCGCACGTTTATGGAGAAGCCACAGCGCGTGCAGGTGACCGTATCCTGAACCCCGGGCAGAGGCAGGATCGAGCCGCAGTCCGGACAAAAATCCAGGTCCGACTGAAAGCAGGAGCAGGTGCGGTTGAGGTCCATGACGGACAGGTAGTTGAGGGCTGAGAAGGGGATGAGAAGTTTATTCGCAAAGGAGTAACCCCGTCCCCACACAGGGGTCATTCCTATTCTGTTCCTACACATAGGAAAGTACAAAACCCAAGCCCTCCTCCCTGACATGCCTCGTGCCTTTGCGACCAACGTGCCCAACCGTCCGTAACTCCCAGCACGCTTCGAGTAACACCAGACTTCGGGGCTTTCGGGTAGCCGGCGAAAGAGGCCAGACAAATCCAGGGTCCGGAGTTAGGGCTTTGCGGCGGCCGCAGAGCAACGAGCGCATGGCGGGCTAGAGCGTCAGCGCCCTCCAACTCACTATTGGCTGTGACGTCATAATTTATCACACACGGGAATCCCGACCGACTTCGAGAAGGTAGGAACCTCGCTGGAGAAAGATGGTGGCATCAGTTTCAGCCTTGTCCTGTGACCAGATAACGAAACAGGTAAGCGATGCAGTGCCTCCAGCTACGTTTCCTCTCATGGCCCTCTGGGATATTTATTCTCTTAGTCTCGCATTTTACAGGGACGTAGTCGCGGGAGCGTTCCCTCTGAAAATCGTACTTACCGAATACTAATTTATGATTAGAGAACAACTTCCGCCGTTCCTTGGCCGGTCTTTCCCTTCTGCGGCTGCGCAGTGTTTAAAAGCAAAGCCAAACATTGCGCGTTACAGTTCCAGTGCTTATTGAGCCTCGTGGGACAAGCAAGGGCTCTTAGCAGAGCTCGTAATTGGTCGCGTGCTTCGGGGGATGTTCTGGGCTCTTGTAGGGGTGAGGCAGCTTCTTAAGAGGCAGGAAGTGGTGAGGGTGAAGGCGGAGGAGGAATGTTTAGTCTCTGGAAACGAAAGGAAGCAGGGATGAAGTGGGACACTTAGGAAGGGGCTCAGGACTTTGGAGGTGGCGGAATAGAAGTTGGGACTCCCCCTCTCCTCCCTTAGATGCCTGCCAGATGAGGGAGGCTAGCGTCAAGGGAGCAGTCCTGGGTAGGATTTCACTTTGACTTAGGTCGAGTTTGGCTTTCAGTTGTGGACCCACGTCCACCTGGTCTCCTTCCAACCAACTCTTAAATCAGCTGTTATCCATTACGTGAACAGTTGACATTTGCCTAATGTTTTGTAAAACATGACGACAATATCTGTAGAGAATATTTCTATTTGCATTCCCTGTAACCTACAATCTAAAGTAGAAACTTGTCATCCTGAAGGGACGTCTACATGAGTTTTCTAGCTCCCTCCCAGCCCATCCATCCTCATCCAACAAGACAGCTGTGAGCACTGCTCACATATAAAAGTTCTGGAGCCATCACCATTTTCTCCACTGAAAGAAAAGCTGTGGTCTCTTCTTGAGAGAAGCTCTGGGTTTGCCTTTTTCTACAGTAAGACACACAATGTAGAAGGGGTCAAAATTCAGCAAGCTACTGGAGAGTGACAAGTCCCATAATTTCACTTACCTGGGTGTCATTTTGTGTCTTACAAAGGGTGGTCTATTGCTGAGCCCATGATGATAGGCATTTTTATTCTCACTTCTCTGTCCTTTTTTTTTTTTTTTGAAAATGGAAATTGAAATTAGCCTTCCCTCCCCAGCTTTCCCTTTTCAGTCTGACAAACATTCACTAGAGCCACCATGAGTTGAATACTTTCCTAATGCAGTAAAGGAGCATAAGCATTGTATGGCATGGCCCTTTCCCAACAAAAGCTCACAATCTGTTCAGTTAGTATGTATTAAGCACCTATGCCAGTCTTTGAATTGAGGCTACAAAGTTGAAAACTTTTCTGTGATCCTAAATAGTACAGATGAATAATTAGAAGACAGTGGAAGTACACTAGTAGAACAAAATGTAAAGCCCAGGACAGGTATATAAAACAAATATGGTTGTATACTTTAAGAAAGACTGTTAAATGTTTTAATAAAAAGATAGATAAACATGGGAATATAAGAGAAAGATGCTCAAATATTATGTGATAAGGATAATCACCAATCCAGAAATCATTAGTTTTGAGAAGTTGGGATCATAGACCCTAATGTTAAGTACTGTGCTAGATGATATGTAGAGAAACAAAAGCAAGATTGTCATATTTTTTAAATCCCAAAGTAGGTATACATAGGCAAATAAGAATGTGCCTAGGAGGTCTATGAGATACGATGTTTGATAGCAGATCCTTTCTGGTAATATAAACAGATCATTGTATTTCTAGATAGAAGGTATAGTTCCCATCCTTTGTAAGTCTTAATTTCAGTATCAAAATACTAAAAGGCAGTATATGACTTCAGATATCACAATGCAAACAATGACTGATTTCCAAGTGAGTTGTAGAAGTAAAAATGTTAAATGTTCAGAAGAAGGCAAAATTACTGTTACATAGAGTAGACTGGAAAGACTTTATAAGAGAGTCAGAGGCTTGACCGGTGGAGGATACACAACTGCTATTTATTGAGAACTTAACCACATATCAAGCATTGTGCCAAGCTCTTCAATCTAATTCACATTTGTTCTTTAAAACCCCCAAGAGGTGGTTTTTGTCTTATTATATCTCCACTTTGCAGATGAGGAAACTGACATAGAGATTAAGTTACTTGCCCTGAGTCACACATCTAAGAGTGGTAGAATTAGGACATAGCCCTGTCAGGCTTCAGAGCCCATGTTCTTAACCATAAATAGTATAAATAAAGCACAAACATGAAATGCCAGGCATCCTCATTGGCTTAAATACAACCTCACAGTAAACTCAGACTAGACCAGGATGACACATAAAAAGTTGGTAGTCTTCACTTGTGCTGCCATCAGCCTGTCCTATAAATAAACCCAGAGTAACTACAAATTCCCATTCTAAGGGTTTCAACATGGAATGGCCTCATAATGGATTTGAGATGAAGGATGATTTGCAGTTTACGGCAGGTAAGCATAGGCTGGACAATCAAATAAGAACAAAATTTCAGAACAAAAGATTACAGTGCAGAGATGCTATATGTGCTGATAGAGGCAGAGAGGGCCCAGATTGAGAAACTGCAGAAAGAGAATGAACTGATAACACTGGAATCTGGAATTATCTCAGAAGACAATGAAGGCTGGGGGACTAAGCAACCTGATATTAATGTGCTTGGGCAATGCTTCTCCAAGCAGCCTGTCTGTTCCGTCTCCCAACCCTTGGTACAAATTCAGAGTGGTCCATGTGGAATCCACAGGAGAAGTATGTCTTTAGTTTGCATGGTAGGATTATATGTTTTTACTAAAAGAACATTCATTATTCTTCACCATAGGAATGCAGTGGTTTCCCGTGGAGGAAATGGCCCTGCTGTAGTCCTGCCTATAGTGGGTTTCCTCTTTCTGAAGGGAAATACCCTTGGTCTTGGTCAAAACAATTGAGTGAGCAGATGTATTCTGGCACCCCCTGACATTCTAACTACCCTTGCTATTTTATCTTCCAGATTGGCCAGGCTAAAGCATCTAAAGACCCTAGAATTGCTGCAGATCAACAGTCCCCACTGGAGAAGAAAATCTTGGTAAATAAATTATCTTCACATACAGTTTGGAACTACTAGGAGAAGGGACCTTAGGTTTAAAATCCTCCTAGCAGCCCAAGTGATACCTCCTGGTATGTCTACACTGGCAGATGTTCTCTAGCTGTATGTTTTCTGGCTATATCCATACTTTCAGAGCAAAGTATTATTTTGAAAACTCTTAACAGTATATTTCTAAAAACTAGTTGTTGATTTGGATGGTGGGTACTTGAACTTTCAGAGCTCACAGGCTCATGTAGGAGTGATGGTAGTTACACTGATGTAAAGAAAAGGTCACACATCTTTTCTTGGTGTCTGTAGTGAGGGTAAGCTCCTGTTATTAAATGTGTTGGAAGTAAAAACTGGGTCACATAAAATTCTGTACCCCACTTTGACAGAATCTAGGTGGTGTGCATGCAACGGCAGCATGACAACTGATAAGGGGAAAACATCAAGAGGAGCATGAAACACTGTAGGGAGGAGGCTCTTTCTCTTGACTACGGGCTTGCCAAGGTGGAGTCTTTTTTTTTTTTATTAAGGTATGATTGATATACACTCTTATGAAGGTTTTACTTGAAAAAACAATGTGGTCACTACATTTACCCATATTATCAAGTTCCCACCCATATCCCAATGCAATCACTGTCCATCAGTGCAGCAAGATGCCACAGATCCACTATGTGTCTTCTCTGTGCTACACTTTTCTCCCTGTGATCCCCTACACCATGTGTACTAAACATAATACCCCTCAATCCACTTCTCCCTCCCTCCCCACCCGCCCTCCCACACCCCTCCCCTTTGATAATGACTAGTTCCTTCTTGGACTCTCTGAGTCTGCTGCCATTTTGTTCCTTCAGTTTTGCTTCATTGTTATACTCCACAAATGAGGGAATCATTTGGCATTTGTCTTTCTCTGCAAGGCAGAGTCATACTATAATAAAAGAACAGTGGAAATGGTAAAAGAACAAGAGACAGGTGGTGAAATCAAGGAGAAATTGGAGAGGAAAACAATTCAAAGCATAGACAAAAACGGTATTATTGGGTACCTGAGAGAGAGAGATGAAACACACAGAAAGGCACATACATCGAGCAGGACAGGACAGAGATCTTAAGAATAAAACATTAATACCATTACTACATCCCCCCCTAGTTGAACAATGTTCCCAAAAATTGTTTCAGAAAAGCGTAACATCCAGAACATACAGAGAAGAAAGTTGGTAAATGAGTGGGAGCAGATACAAATGAAAGATCACCAGGAATGCATGCTTTGAGGAAGAAAACTTAAAGAGCAAAAGCTCAAGGAAAGAATCTTGAGAAATAGCCAGAGCCAGCCACCCACACACGAGAAGCATGGGAGAATAAAGAAAGAGATGGAAGAGTTTGAAAACGTTACTGCATATCCACTTTTCCAGCCATGCAGTAGAAGTCAGATTAAAGTGAATGTTCTTATGGAAAAGTGTCAAAATAGAGAAGAAGAGAATACAATTGTAAAACCACATCAAAGAAAATTCTTAACTATGCCATGCTTTTTGAGAGGTCAAATAGGAAAAATAAAAGATTAGTAAAGTTTCAATGCTTTTATGACAAAAGTTCTTAACTATTTATGGTTAAGAACATGGGCTCTGAAGCCTGACAGGGCTATGTCCTAATTCTACCACTCTTAGATGTGTGACTCAGGACAAGTAACTTAATCTCTATGTCAGTTTCCTCATCTGCAAAGTGGAGATATAATAAGACAAAAACCACCTCTTGGGGGTTTTAAAGAACAAATGTGAATCTCTTAACCTTTTTTTTTATGCTAGTTTTCATCTTTCCCCAGGGTTCAGTGAATATTCCTATTTATATCAGGTACAGAAATATGAGGTAGTTCTGGACTTGAAAATTAGCTATTTTTAGTTGCCTTAAGTTTATTCAAGTTACTTATCCTTTTTGAAGTTCACTTTCTTCATCTTTAAAAGAATAATAATATTTCATAGCATTTATGGGAGTAATTTTATTTTTGTAAGGCATAGGATATATTAGATGCTTCATAAATAATAGTTTCTTCACTGCAGAACACCTGGATTGGGCAGTAATGGTAAATAAGGACTTGTTCTAATCTGCCTCTCCCATTTCCTCTATTCTCAACCCTTAAAAGTTATCTTGATGTGGTTGCTATAGGGAACTACTAACCAGGCCCTAAAACTCTTTAACTTGCACTATACAATTTTATTTGTATGAGAAACTTAATTTTGAGAACCTCCTGTATGCCAAGCATTGTTAGTTACAACGAGAAAAGAGAAGTCCCTGCCCTGGATTAGTTTACAGGTAATGGGTTAGCTCTATAAGCATAATAAAATGTGGTAAGGGTTATGACAGACGTATGTATAGGTGCTGTACAGAGGAGGGACACCCAACCTGGCCTAGGTAAGCAGGATGAGGGGGAAGGTCAGAGAAGGGAGTGTAGAAGTCTCTCACATTTCTTCCAGCTCCACAGTTTGTCACTTTCAATCACCCACTTAAGCAAGACCTTCCCAATGTTAGGATATACTCAGGGTAACCAAATTCACCCTCTCAAACAGATGTCCTCCAACACTCACTGATGAGACAGAGAGCAAATTTATGAATACAGTGAGAATTCTGATCAAGCAGAATGAAATTTTATGGGTTTCTAATCAGTTGTTTTTCTTTCCAGACACCAGAAAGTTGGGAAAGTAGGGTTTCAGAGTTAGTAGAAAATTAAAGAAATGGAAACCGGATGCCCTAAGGAATATTATACTTGAGTTGTGATCATTCTGATGCCCATTCTTCTTTACTAGTAGGACCATTTACCCAAGATACAGCTAGATCAGCACTGTTCAATAGAACTTTCTCCAGTGATATAACTGTTCTCTGTCTTTGCTCTTCAGCACTGTAGTCACTTCCCATATGTGGCTATGGAACATTTGAAATGTGGCTAGTATAACTGATAAAGTGAATTTTTTCTTTTATAAATAAAATATATTTCAGTGTACAGTGACCACCATATATTGTACAGCATGGCACTAGATAACCCTAACTTCTATGTTCTAGATTTCTGTCCCGCAATCACCTTTCTCTTTGACAGTATTTTCGGGTATAGTAGATCTGCTCATCTTACATTAGTATCAGTTTATTTCCTTTGTTTGAGAGGCTCCCTAATCACTTGCAGATTCAGAAAGCACTGTAGAGAACTTTCTGTGCAAATGCAGGAGATAGAAGACTTAGAAATCCAAATCAATAGCGTAATAATGATAAACCCTTTGAGTTGAGTGGGACTAACAAGTAACCTAACATGTAACTATTAATAACTTTTTACCGTGAGATTTCCAGTGCTGGACATATAAATTGGTGAGGTCATCTGCACACTTTTCTCCTCCAAATCTAGCATAAAAGCAACTGATCTTAGGACAGTTGCACAAAAAAAAATGTCTGTGGTTAAAGTGTCCAGTTTGGCCACGCCTGAACCCATCATCTCCACTTCACAAACTCTAATCACCTTTTCATTTCCTTGTACTGTGTGTGAACGGTACCATAATTACTCCCTAGCATGCTTACTTAAATCATGAGTCATGCTTAATGCTTTTCTTTTGTCCTGTAGTCTTTTCTTTTCAATGTGAAATGTAATATACAATTGAAATGTATATGTATAGTTGGAAGAACAGTAAAAAAAATCCAGGTATCCACTGCTCAGGCTGAGAAATGAAACATTACCTCACCCCAGAAGGCTCCATGTGCTCTTCCCCTTCACATTCCTTCCCCATCCCTAGAAGTGATCACTATCCTCAATTTTGTGATAACTGTTACCTTTTTATAATTTTTACCACCTATGTACATATTCCTAAGTGACATAATTACTAGTAGTTGCCTGTTTATAGCCTTTGTATAACTGGAAATACACTGTATGATTTCCTTCTTTTGCTCCATACTATTTTGACTTAATCCATGTTGATATGTGGCACTATAATTCATTTCCTTTCATTCTTTCTCTTTTATCCTCTTTGAAACAGTTTCCTTACTTGATTTCCAGGATAACATGCTTTCCTGCTTTTTCTCCAACCTTGTGGATTGTTCCTTGTAAGTCTCTTTTGTTGATTCCTCCTCATCTTTCCAGTCTCTACATAGCTCCTGGGCTAAATACTTAGACTTCTTCCCAAACTTGCTCTCTTGTTAATCTTCCCAAGTCTCATGATTTTAACATTGTCTGTACACAGGTAAACCATCAATCTGAATGTATATTTCTAGTGTAGTTCATTTTCACGACATGAATATGCCACGTCTTAATTACCTGTTCTACTATTGAGGTCATTTGGGTTATTTCCAGTTTTTGCTTTTGTGTTTTCTCCTACAGATTGTACTTCTGTAAACATTCCCTTAACATGTGTCTGAAGCACATGTGCAAGAGTTTCTCCAAGGTATATAAGCTGTGGTACATTCATATGACAAGCCCAGTCCTGGAACTTGTTAGATTTCCATCTATGTTGTTTTTACCCTCATAAGTCTGTTCTGTAGAGCCTAGCACATATTAGACAATATTTATCAAAAGAAAGGAGGACATTTGTTAACTGCTGAAAACAGGATATTGGTTAATAGCGTGTCCAAGAGAGCCAGGCCAAAATACAAAAACAGCTGATAATATCCAACTGTAACTCCTATACCTCATGTCTGTGAGCAATCATAGTCAACCTTTCTTTGTTCTTATATTTCAGCTGAGGTTTAAAATATCTTTATTAATTTGCTTTTTAATACTCTTCAGTAAAATTCAGGATTTTATTTATCTCCTTTGCCAGAATGTTTTCTCCGCTGCCTTCTAGAAAAGGTCACCTACATGCCCTCCTCTCAAGGTACCTGGCAACATCATAACATAAAGTTTCATTGAAGTGTGAACAAAGGATTGCCAAAGAAGGAGGACAGGGTGCTAAAGTTCCTGGAGATGCTAGTCAAGGACTATCTAACAGTTCCCTGTTTGCTGGAGAAGAGTCCAAGTTTCTTAGCCCTCAAGCACTTTGTGACTTAGCCCCAACAGAGTTCTGAGTTTAGAATTGTGAGATTTGTATTGGGTTCCAGCTCTGCGACATGCTGACTGATGTGAGGAAGCTCTTACTCTTAGGACCGACAGTATGGAAAATAAAATATTCCCCACCCAAGTGTTACGGTGAGATAAGAAATAAAGTGCTTTATAAGCATAAAATGTCAGGTAACATCATAAATTGTCTATCAGTTTACTTCCTCTCCTTTCATAGTGTGCTATAAATGTCTACCCAGATAGAAGCATGAAAACTCCCATAGTTTGGGTTTAAAATGCAAAAGGGAGATATGAATGAAAAGAGGCCAGTCAGTAGAAAAGGAAAAACAGCAGAGGGAAAACAGGCTAATAATAATAGGTAAGCCAAGTGCTTATGTATTGTAGGAGCTTGTTTGAAATATATGGGCACAGGATACCATGGAAGGCAGAATATAGGATGAGCTAACATAATAGAGATCATGGCAAGACATTACCCAGCAGGCAAAAACAT